GGGCAGTTCTGGGTTAGTACCAGTGCCCCCCGCCATCCTCCCCCCGGCCCGGGCAGTTCTGGGTTAGTACCAGTGCCCCCGGGCCCGGGCACTGTGTGAAGCAGGAGGTGGGAAGCCCCAGCCAGGCGATTTAAAAGGATTCCCCGCTCCCCACACAGCAATGGGGCGGGCAGAGCTGGGCTGGGTCCCGAGCTGCTAGCGCGGCTCCCCACGGACGGAAGCGCGGGAGGCCGAGCCAGCAGGAGCCGGGGGAGAAAAGTTTGTGGGTTTGCCGGGCCGGGAGCCCCGGGCAGTGCGCTGCCCCCTCGCTGGCTGGCTCCGGGCGGGCGGGCCGGGCACGGAAGTGGGAAGGCGCGGGGCTGGCGAGGAGCGAGCGAGCGGGGCGCTCCGCGGTCTAATTGATGCGGGGCGGCGAGGCCGCGCAGAGGCAGGGCAGCGCCGGGGGACGGAGCCAGCCGAGTTTCTTGCCCAGGGCGGCTGAGGCGGCAGCAACTTCTCCCCGCGCCCGGGCGCGGCGCCCCCCAGCAGGCCGGAGGCGGGCCGAGGGACGCGCACACAAAGGCGGCTGGGGGCCGCGGGCGCACGCCGGGCGGAGCGGGGAGCCGGGCGGCCGGGAGAGGCGCGGCCGGGAGGGGCGGCGGAGCTGCCGCCCCCTGCTCCTCGGATGCCCTTCGCTTTCGGTTTCGCGGCGCGGCGCGGCGGCTCGCAGGGCGGGGGCACCGCGGGCTGGCAGCCGCCTTTGTTTTCTCTCTTGCGCGGCTGAGCCCCGGGAGCCGGGCGGCCCCCCTGCCCCGGGTCCCTCCCCGCCGCGCGGCTCCGCTCCAGCCCTTTCCCCGCCCCCCAGCAAAGTAAGTTTCCCCGGCGGGCTCCCCCTCGCGCCCCGGCCTCGCCGCCCGCCCGCCCGCTGGGGAGACCCCGGCCCCGCCGGCCGGGCGAGCCGATGCCGATCGCCGCCAGCTCGCAGCCCCGCGCGGCGCAGCCCGACGCCCGCCTCTTCCCCCCGGCCCGGCTGCGGGAGCGGGACCCCGCCAAGCCGGGGGCCGCCGCCGAGGAGCCGCGGGCCGCCGGGCGCCTGGATCCCCCCGCCCAGGCCGGCGAGGCGGCCCCGGCAGCCGGGCTGAGCGGCAGAGCGGCGGCTCCTCCCGCCGTCCCCTTCCTCCCCTCCCCGCCGCCGCTGCCCGCCTTCCCCTCCCCGCCGCCGGCCCCCGCCGCCGCCTCCCCGCCGGCCCCCTTCCTGCTGCTGGAGCCGCCCCGCACCCGCTCCCGGTCCCGCTCCGGCTTCCTCACCCTCGCCATGAGCGGGGCCGCCGCGCACTTCCAGCCACCGCCGCCCCTCCACGGGCCGAGCCTCCCGGAGCAGGGAGCCCGCAGCCAGGGCAGAGGCAGCCCCGCCGGCCACGGGCACCCCCGGGCCGCCCCCGCGCCAGGTAACGGGGACGGGGGGAGCCTGAGGGGGGAAGGTAGGGTGCGCTGAGGGGAGTGGGGGTGTGGGGGAAGGGTGAGGGGTGGGGAGAGTGGGGGTGATTGGGATGTAGGGGGAAAGCTGGGGGGAGTAGGGTATGTGAGGGGATTGATAAGGGGTGCAGGGGGAGTGGGTGCTGGGTGGGGTGCAGGGGAACTAAAGAAAGGTCGGGGAGACATTGCTTGGGACCTGCGGTCCTGGGGGCCTGGGCTATGGGGGTACTAGGAGTGCTCGAGGGACAGGCTGCTGGGACTTGAGCTGGTGGTGGTGGTGGTGGGGTTGTTAGGGGGGACTGAAGAGTTGGGTGGTTCGGGGGCTGCCATAAGAGATCATAGGAGTAGCAGCCCACTTTGTTTTTCCAAAGTTGACACAATCTGTAACACTTCTGCCGAGTTGTTCAGCCTTAGCTCTTCCAAGCAATCTCTCTGTATCAGTCCCCACAGGGAAGATGACATGTGTCTGTCTGTACAGCGTGGTGGTGGGTGGGTGTATATAATATCAGACATTAAACATGCTTTCTGCTTACTTGTGGGAAGTTTGGTGCAGCGAAATGGAGAGACTTCTGTGTGTGGAGGCATTTTTCTGCCCCACACTCCTCATAAATTGGAGGGGTTTGTTTTTGCCTGTCCCATTCTGCTGGGGGAAACCGTGATCTGATGACTACTTCAGCGCTGAGTTCACAGTCATTTTCATGGACACTCACAGTGTTGTCACACAGACTGAAGCTGTGAGGTGATAAGTCCCCAGGATGACATGGGAGCAGCACATACAGGGAGAAGAGAAGCTCAGGTCCCTAAGAAAATGACTTTAAAGGAAGTATCTTGAAAAAATACAACAAAGTAAATAAACTGGTTGTGATTTTATTCAAGTTTTGCCTCATGGTAACTTTCAGTACAACTGAAACTTTTATGATAATCAAAGTGAGAAATAGACTGGCCAAGATCATTGTGGATCTATTGAATCTACAAGATTGCATGGAGGAGATAACTTCCTTTCCTTCTTTACATATTTACTCGCAATATTTGTGATGCTGGAATGATTGAATTGTCTGCCCAAAGGATGCTGTTTAATTCTCTTGGTGCATATAGTCCATTGGGGTAACCTCTGCCACGTAGATAGTATTCTAAAAGTTAGTATATAAGCATTTAAAATTATTCTATCATTTGAGATGTTTCAGGGTTTTTTTTCTTAGTGTCAAATGCAGAATTATAAATTATACTATTGTGGTAGAGAGACTGAAGTTGAAATAGCACTTCTGTTATTAATATAATAATATATTATCGTCTTCATTTTTTCTAGCCTATAGCTATAGTAGGTCTGAATTTATTTGACATTACTTTCTCTTTACATTGGCTTCAGCTGTGGCTATGCCCTCATACAATATTTTGTTAAATATAGACTTCGAATCCTTTAACAGAACAACAGAACTTTGATGATAATACTCGTAGGGTATCCACTGCACATGGTAGCCATGTGAGATGTGTGATTGTTCGTGGCTAGCATGGACTACTGTGGGAAAGAAACAACTAGGTAATAAAACTAACTCTTAGTATTAATAACATATAGTTTTTAGCAACCATACATGTCAAATACTCTTATTTAATCTTAATGAGTATTTGTGATTGCTTTAATTTTTGCTGTCCAACAGCTTTTTGTCTTGGCATCAGAAATCAGTTTTCATAGAAATAGCATTCTGATTTTTATTCAATATTTAATTTGGGAAGAAAATGACAATCAGTTAGCAGTGATGCTTAGTTTTGAAAATATATGGGAGAGGAACTACTATGTCTATGTGTAAATCCAAAACGGAGGCTAACTCTAGGCTATCTTTCCCTCTTTCCTTAATTTCTAATAAATATGCCAATTAAAAATAGGTAAGTTCTTAAATTCTTGTATATCTTGGTAATGTGGGGATTATTGGAAAACATCCTTATTCTTTTGGAAACACCATCTGCCTTCTTAATTACCACTTTATATTGGGCATTTGACACCTGACACTTTTTTTTTTACTATTATTATTTAAAGAGTCATGTCTGTTTCCTGTTAAAAATGGCTACACAGTTTTACCCCAGTGAGGAACAGTTTTTGGCTGCTCACTGCAACTTTATTTTGGTGCTAAAATGTTAAGGCCTTAAATCTGCAAACACTTAAATGCGTGTACTTAACATTAAAGCATGTGAGTGGTCTCGTTGACTTCAGTGGGACCCCTCCGTGTTTAAAGTTGCACATGTGTGTAAGTGTTTACAGGATTGGGGCCTATGATGATTTCTCTTCTCAGAGTTGTGTATGGCAATCGGAATTTTACTTTATGTTTATGAAGTTACTAGTGCAGGAAAACAGCAAAGAATGAAAGCATTTGGGGGGATTGGTGAGTGGGGAAAAGCTTTGTGTCTTCTCTTTGGAACATACAATTTTTATTTATGCTGATATTTTGGGGTTGGATGGGTTTTTTTTGTGTTTGGAGGGGGGAATGATTTACAGAACTGGTACAAGTTTTACTTTAAAATGAGAGCTATATAAGTATTTTATAAATAGCTGGATTTATTTATGTTTACTGGAATTTGTACTAAAGAGACATCAACTTAAAATCATACTTCTATTTGATTGTTTTACCTATTATTTCTAAAGGTAACTCTGAAGATTACAGAAAAATATTTGTTTGTGTTTTACTTTGTATATAGTCAGTTTTCCCCATTGCTCTATGAAAGGCCCATACAATCAGAGAGATGATATTTAATGGGAAAAACATATTTGTAAAAGTGCAGAAATTGGCAAGTCTTGGGAGCAGCTTTTTTACTTGAAACTATTTCTATTTCTTTTTAAAATTGATTATACTTTAAGTGGATTTGTTGACTTAAACCCGAAATTTTCCTTTCTTAAAGCTGCTCCTAACTTCCTGATACTTTCAACAACCTGTACAGTAAAACCAGCAATGAAAAACTTGAAATTGTAGATGTATATTTCCTGTGATTTGAAACCTGTCACAATTACAGAGAAGAAACTCAGTCCTTATCGTTGAAGTGTTTAGTTCATCATAGTCCTTGTAACATGTAACTACATAGCACTGTGTCCGCACTGAATTAGACGGAATGCATTTTCTTTAGCCTTCTCTGAGAAGGGGAGAGGTTGGGTTTTATTTATTAGCCCAAACCTTTTGCTTAGAAACTCACTTAAACTACAGTTGCAGAGTTGTTGCAGTGAGGAAAGCTTGTAGGGCCTGTGTATAAAAATAGTACTTAGAACTGTGTTAAGGCCAGATTCTTCAAAAGAGATTAGTTCCTATTTAGGGAGCTGCCTAATTGAAGCTGGGTTTTTTTAAAAAATCTGGCTATTTATGTTTACTGATCAAGACTTTGGTGGAAAACAGATTAGTCTTTCAAAAAATACACTTTAAGGCCCCAATTCTGCAAACATTTATGCACCTGCTTAACTTTGCTACCATGTGCTGAAGCATTTGCAGAATCAGTGCCAAAATTGTTTTTTGTTTTACAGTTGATAAAGTTTTTCTGTTAGTCACACTACTGAAAGTAATAGTTTTCAATTAGTTTGCTCTTTAATCGAGTCTCTGTTCTCAAAACATTGAAATAACAATATTATGAACTTCTATTTAGATTTCAGTATTAAGGAAACGTAGTACATTTTACAGACCAAGTCAGAATCTGTCGCAGACAATTACTGGGCATCCCCATCCCCCCCAATGTTTAGTGAAATGTGGTTTTTTGTTTCTCATTTGTTTTCCCATTAAATATACATGTTAACAGATGCAAAGGGCTTTATTCAAGATTGTCAAATTAATAAACGGGTAGTGGAATAGAAAACATAGAGCTGGACTGCTGACTCTTCTTTTCATCCAGGAAATTGATCCTGATCTTAAGAGGCACTTTCAGGCAGAACTAGAGGAAAGTGCGTTACCTCTGTCACTGTAGGCATATCTTGTAAGTGAAAAAGATGAGAACAGCTAGAGACATGCTTGTCAGTTGGTAAGAGAGGTGTGGTTTTAATGGAAAATTTCAGTCCTTTCACCTTCAGTTTTTTGTAAGCTCCGATCTGCAAAATTATTTTTGTTATTGTGGTATTTGGGGAGGAAGGAACCTTAAAAACAATAACATATTAGAATAACGTACTTTCAGTGCGTGGTAGACTAAGCATTTTAAAGGTGGCTTTTCTCTGAAATGTTTCTACTTAGGAATGCTACCTTTTGGCTGACTCCTGGTAGCTGCACTAAAATCAATTAACGCTGCTTGCAATTTTCAGCCTTGTTATATTTCAATTTTAGATGGAATAGTTCTAAAAACTACAAATTAATGATGTCAAAGACTCACATCAGTCAAAGCCTTACCATAGAATATTATTATGAGGGGTGGTGGGAGATACTTATTTAGGCAGATAAGTAAGCAGCTGCTAAGAGTTTATTCTGGAGGAATTGAAACTGCTGATCAAAGGATCAGTGCCTGTTTTCAAACATATGCAAAACTGCAGGGTGTGAGGGGGATGGACTTGCTTGTAAGGGTGCTGCCACTATTTGTATTGAAAGTGAGGTGGAAAGCTCTTGCAATTCATAGCGATTTTGCCTGATGCAGTATATGCTAAACAGTAGTAATTTAACTACTGAAAACTCCCAATAAATTTCAGATTGTCACATGCGATTTTTTTATGCCCGTAGCAGTTATCTGTGTGCAGTACGTATGGTTCTATTTTTGAATTGAATAGCAGTTACAGTGGTTTTATGGCGAGAGTCATGCTTAAATTTTACATGCTCAGAGATGTGCGTCTTCTTACTTAGGTTACACTGGTCCCTTCACAGCTTTATGACCCTCTTAAGTAGAGCAAGATGCAAGGATATCTCCTTAGTAATAATGAATGAAGCATATACAATACTTGGATTTGGTGGATAAAAATCTGTTCTTGCACCTCTTTATATTCAAGGCTAGTGTATTTTAGGTGAAATGATTGTAGTTTGATGGC